TTAGTCTCCTTATATTTGATGTCAAATGCATAAAAATGAAGATCAGGACTGTACTGAGGAAACGAATCCGTCTGCACGGCACTAATTGTCCGGGGTTTACCTGCCACCATAACCGTTTTTCGCGTCTTTTGAAGACTTGGGTGGTCGTACTTCCCCCCAAACAACTCGCCGTTTATAAGAACGGTGTGCAACTTCTTCTGCAACTTGTCACAGAGCATCTCACGGGTGACGGTGATGTACTGCTGCAACTGCGGTACCAACATATGATAGCCAAAGAAATGCTCAGTGGGAGGCATAATACCGCTTCTTTTCGCGTAACGTATGGTTTTCTCACCTTCGATGGAGTAAATCCCAAAGTTTGCGCCATGAACCTTCTCTGTGGCAATCCACTCATCGTCAAACATTCCGCATGCCTTCAGTGCACTCATCCGTCGTTCGTTAGAGTTCTCAATTTCTGTGTAACGCTCAAAAAGAGAAGAACCATCGTCAGCAAGCCACAGGGGCGTCCTACGAAGAAACAGCTGAAAGTGGCGCCGCAGCATCGTTGATGTAATAAAATATTTCTTGGAGAGGTGAAAAAAAAAAAAAAAAAAGTCCCAGACCGGCCCGTATGACAAAAGAAAAAAATGGAACAGTGGCAAAGACAGCCAAAGAAGAGATCTCGCAAAATTTCCTCCCCCGCCGCTTCACACACCACAAACCAAAAAATAAATAAATAAACAAACACAAGTAATTTTAAAAAGTTGCGTTGCAGAAAGATGGCCTCACAATGGAACGTGCTGCTTTTCAGCCACAAGCTTTACCCTACTCGGACAACACACGTACACGTCTGCATCTGGGAACACATTCATTTTGGCCACATGTTCCGCATACAATGTAAACTGGCTGGACGAGCACATGTATATGACGTCTTGAAGAATAACAGTCTGACGAAGCATGAGTTCCCTGGCCTTCGACTCCAAAACAGCATAGGTGGGCATATCCTCCGGCACAATGATGTCATTGTTGCTGTGCTTCGGGAAAATCGGGTGCCGTGCCACAACGTAAGTGGATTTACTCGAAAGAGTTAATCCCTTCCCCATTGATTCCACGACGTTAGGGCCAATTTCATCCCCGTCGATAAAACAAAAGGCATTGATGGGAAGCCGCTTCGGCCTTAATCGCACTGACAGCTTCACTTGCAGGACATTTGAGACCTCCGCATTCGTTACCAGCTGTTTCAGCACATCCTTCTCTGTGATACCCGTTTTTTGCATGGCGAGACGCAGAGGTGTGTAGGCACCGTGATGGCCCATCAGCGCTCGCCTACGACAGAAATCGACGATACCAAGCGGCCCACGCTTACCCGTGGGTGCATCGGGAGGCGCACTGGTGGCCGACTTGACTTTCCACTTCCCTGTGGGGTCCGACTCCACAAGAAATATATGGGGGTAGCTTTGAATCGCATCCTTGAAGGAAAGCGCCCCCACAAGAGAAGGCTGAAAGTGAGGCACCTCATCCTCCAGTATTGCCTGCAGTTGCGAGCCACTCACCCCAGACAAGGGGATTTTCGTTGCCACTTTTAGGAGCATCGACTCCACCTGACTTCGCATGCAGTCACCCTCCGTTGCCATGTAAACGACACCAGCGTCAATTCTGAAGGCAGGCGATGATCGCAACTGGGCTTTGGCGTCCTCCAGTGAAAGCACCCCGGGATCGACAATGGCAGACGCCAACACATCTTCCGCCACGCCCTCGTGTACTCCCAGACCCTCTGCGGCACAGGTGCGGCGAAAGGCGGACCTCATCGACGCCTCCGACAGCAAAAGGCGGCGCACAATGGAGTTTGAAAAACCTCCGCCTCGACATGCAAGGGTGGAAGAAAAAAGCGCCCGCATCACCAACGACATGAGTCACAACGGCACTAAATAAAACAAAATGCGCGTCTGGCCGAGGCCTTTTCCCTTATTCCTGTAGGGAGAGCAAGAGAGAAAGAAAGAAAAAAAAAATGACAGTTTCTCTCGCCGCATCCAACATCCCCCCACGACTCAATGAAAAGCCATCCCACAGCCATCCACAAACAATTCCCAAGAACTTATGCTCATGATAACCGGAGTCTCTGTTAACTCTCGAAGTGGCAGTCATTAAAAGGCCCCCGTAACCGTCAGGGGCTTCTCCTCGTGAAGAGCCGTCGCCGTAAGAGCGGGGCAAAAAAAAAAAAAAAAACAACTGCACTCTTTCTGTCTTCCAACTTTTCCTCTTAAAATATCACTCAATAAATAAATAAACAACAGAGAATTTCCACCAGTCGCGACATCATCTACGTAATCCTATAAGGTCACCCAATCACCCCCAGCGGCTTCTACAAGAAACAGGCACCATCACAGCACAGCAGCACGATGAAACCATGCGTTCATTTTATTAAGTTCATTTATTCAACAGCAAACCGATCCCCCAACAACAGTATATATATATATATATATATATATATATATATATATATATATATATATATATATATTTATGAGGAAACGCACACACACACACAGAAAAAAAGAAGAATGGATGCGGTCAAAGTACAGCCGGAAAAATAGACACACCACACACACACACACACACAGAGAGAGAGAGAGAGAGAGAAAAAACCACTTCCCGTGAATGAAGCTATGCGGATGAAATTAAGAGAAGGAACGGAATAAAACGCCCTAACCAGCAAAAGTTCCATCCGACATAGACAGTGCGGCCACCAACCCCACATGCATTTTGACACCCCCTTCCATGGCCGTCTCACTCATGCAATACCGTGAGCTGTAGTTGTGGTTACTTGTGGAGCTCCTACTACTATCCCCCACTCCAAGCCAAAACAAACATCCCGGTACTACAGACCCATACTCCGCAAAGTCCGCCACACCCATCATTGCAGTCGAGAGGTCAATAAAAGAAACCCCATCAATTACCCGCTGCGCAACATTCCTAACAATTTCATAGGCCGCCGGGTCGTTGTACGTTACAATGTTGGGCTCCAGCCAACTGATCTCATGCTGAGCTCCATGCGCCTTCGCAATCCCGGCAACAATCTCTTCCATCAAACCGGGAACAAGTGCCTGTACATCACGGTCCAGGCAACGCAGCGTACCTCGCAGGTGCGCCGTGTCGGGTATCACGTTGTAGCTTCCCGTTCCACCGTGAAATGTCGTCACGCTGAGAACTGGAGCCGTCAGTGCCCCGATGCGACGCGACACAATTGTCTGCAGGCCCATGACCACTTCGGCGGCAATCACGATGGGGTCGGTACACAGCTCCGGCTGGGATGCATGCCCACCAGCACCCTTGATCACGATGTCAAAGTCATTACAGGCCCCCATCATCACGCCACTTTTACAAAAAACCGTGCCTGACGGTTTCGTGACATCAACAGAAAGTCCAAAAATCATTTTAACGCCCTCAAGCACACCAAGTTGTACAAGCTGCTTTGCACCACTCGGAATCACCTCCTCCGCGTGCTGGAAGATAAACCGAACTGTGCCACGAATCTTGTCCTTCACTTGGCACAGAACCTTCACGGCTCCAAGCAGCATAGCTGTGTGTGCATCGTGACCGCAGGCATGCATCACGCCAGGCCGCTTCGAGCTAAAAGGCTCGCCACTCTCTTCCTGCAATGGAAGCGCATCCATGTCAGCACGCAGTGCGTAAATGGGTCCCTCTCCGGCTCCTCCGCGGAGGTCAGCGATAACACTGTTCGGCGTCAGTCGCCGTATCTCAAGGGGTGCCGGCATTGCCGTGAGGACGCTCGCCACGTAGTCTGCGGTCGGCTGCTCCTCGTAGGCCAGATAGGGGTTCTCGTGAATGTGGCGACGCCACTGCACGACTTCGGGCTGCACAGCCGAAATCAAAACGTTAACAAACGACATAGATTCCTCACCTTTTTTCAAAAAAAAAAACTTTCTCACAATGTGAAAAAAATAAGAATAGACAGGGAAAGAAGCAAGGAAATTAATTTTAAAGAAATAACTCAATGGAAAAAGTAAGGAAAAAACGAGACTGGCGTGTCGGCCAAGTAGTTGCCCTTTTAAGAAATGATATTCCGTTCTTATGATGCGCTTGGCAGAGCACAAGTGCCATTCAAACTCCCCCTCCAACTGTTCAATAGAAAAATGTCACACGATGTGCCAATGAGAATGGGAGAACAAGTATATCGTTTCACATGAACTTCGAACACCGTCATGAAAAGAGGAATTTTTCAAACTCAATCTTAATGCCACGCCAGCTGACCAATTCTCAATGTGTTTCTTCTGAAATGGGGTAACAAATCCCCATTCTGCCCTCAAAGACAGCCCAAATCAGTCAAAAGGGGAAGCGCACGCAAGAGTAAATGATGCCGGTAAAGTTTGCTTCCTCATGGTAGTTTAAAAATTCTGTACGCCAATAGTAATAATGCAGGATGATTTTTCTTTTGACAACGACAACAACAACAAAAAATATAACAAATACCAAATATTCTCAAGGAACCGTTGGGACTCCCTAGTTGCGCTCACACTTCTATCCAAAAGGAATTATGTGAAAGGGAACGAACGCTCAACAGACATCTTAACGTCCCTTAGTCCAACCAGGCCGCTTCGAGCTAAAAGGCTCGCCACTCTCTTCCTGCAATGGAAGCGCATCCATGTCAGCACGCAGTGCGTAAATGGGTCCCTCTCCGGCTCCTCCGCGGAGGTCAGCGATAACACTGTTCGGCGTCAGTCGCCGTATCTCAAGGGGTGCCGGCATTGCCGTGAGGACGCTCGCCACGTAGTCTGCGGTCGGCTGCTCCTCGTAGGCCAGATAGGGGTTCTCGTGAATGTGGCGACGCCACTGCAGAAATTCTGGCTGTCTTATCTCCCGCACCCTTATGCAAGTGTAATGTGTCATTAACTGCCCATCCCAGCCGCCAGGTGCCGTGCCGGAGATGACTACGCAGTTCTGGAATCCTTGGGACAAAAAAAAAGAATAATCTTCCGGGCAGCTGGCCGGATCCTAAAAATCTACGGAAACCAAACAAGTTAGGAAAAAAGGTTCGTTAGTTAATTGCTTCAATGTTTTATTCTCATTCAATATATAGAATTCTGTGGACCACCAGCATGGTCCTTTGTCCTCAGTTGGGATTTGAATATTATTACTTACGAAGTGGCAGACTTTGGGGTCCTCCAACCACAAGAGACCACCGCGTGGTGGGAATCAAGGGGGTGGGTGGGATGGCAAAATAAAATTAAAAATATTATCCGACCTCTATCGGCTCCCTGCCCCTACAAAGTCGCGTTCTTCCCAAAAGATTCATACGGTAAAAAGTATCATAAAGAGTGCCTTCATTTATCGGGATATACACATACATTAATTAAGTTAGCCAGCTATCCCGCGATCCTTCTTTTCACAAGCTCCTAAAAAAAATATTCATTTCCCCTTGTTAACAGTTATTTTTTCGAGACATAACGTCATAAATATAGTTACTATCTAAGTACTCCGCATCAAAAGCTTCACAATGAAACCCACATGCATTTGCACGCCATGTTCAAGAGCTTTTTCGTACACCTTGAACTTAGAACTGTGTTCCGTGTAAACCGAGCAAGAAGCCTCGTCGCGGATTCCCAAAAGGCAAAAACAACCCGGTGTCTTGGCAACGTACTCGGAAAAATCTTCAACGCCAAACAAAGGTTGCTCCTTCTCAAGAAACGCGTCCGCTCCAACAAATTCTGATATAACATCCTTCGCAATCAGAAATGCCGCGTGGTCGTTGTACGTTACAATGTTGGGCTCCAGCCAACTGATCTCATGCTGAGCTCCATGCGCCTTCGCAATCCCGGCAACAATCTCTTCCATCAAACCAGGAACAAGTGCCTGTACATCACGGTCCAGGCAACGCAGCGTACCCCGAAGGTGCGCCGTGTCGGGTATCACGTTGTAGCTTCCCGTTCCACCGTGAAATGTCGTCACGCTGAGAACTGGAGCCGTCAGTGCCCCGATGCGACGCGACACAATTGTCTGCAGGCCCATGACCACTTCGGCGGCAATCACGATGGGGTCGGTACACAGCTCCGGCTGGGATGCATGCCCACCAGCACCCTTGATCACGATGTCAAAGTCATTACAGGCCCCGTAAAGTGTACCAGAACGAGTAGATATTTTGCCAGCTGGTGTGGCTGCTGAGACATGTAATCCAAAAATCATTTTAACGCCCTCAAGCACACCAAGTTGTACAAGCTGCTTTGCACCACTCGGAATCACCTCCTCCGCGTGCTGGAAGATAAACCGAACTGTGCCACGAATCTTGTCCTTCACTTGGCACAGAACCTTCACGGCTCCAAGCAGCATAGCTGTGTGTGCATCGTGACCGCAGGCATGCATCACGCCAGGCCGCTTCGAGCTAAAAGGCTCGCCACTCTCTTCCTGCAATGGAAGCGCATCCATGTCAGCACGCAGTGCGTAAATGGGTCCCTCTCCGGCTCCTCCGCGGAGGTCAGCGATAACACTGTTCGGCGTCAGTCGCCGTATCTCAAGGGGTGCCGGCATTGCCGTGAGGACGCTCGCCACGTAGTCTGCGGTCGGCTGCTCCTCGTAGGCCAGATAGGGGTTCTCGTGAATGTGGCGACGCCACTGCACGACTTCGGGCTGCACAGCGGAAATCAAAACGTTAATATTGTTCATTTCTAACCGGAAAAGTAAAAAAAAAAGAAAAAATGTGAAGTAGAAACAGTACAGTGGGAAATCACATGAAGTCTATGGATTGCTACACAGGGGTGCATAAGAAACGTTTTTTTTCTCCTTTTTTGGTTTGGAAGATGTGACAAATCAGGAGGGACAAGAAATATTCTTGTGAATGTTGAAGCAAGCAAGGCATCATGCATCTTTTCTAGCATTCTGTGCAATATACACTTCAATCTTTCGCCTGTCACCGTAGGCAGGGACGATATACTCCAACGCAGTCATCGTTGAACCGTCATCGAGCTCAAGCATCTGGTCTTCATTCGTCAGTGAATAAAAGGTATCGATGTTGAGTTCCGTTTCGTACTGCCTAAAGTATTTCTTTAGTCGCCGGTAGTATTTGTCCGGCGAGTGCATTAAGTGTAAATTCCGTAATATATCCAAGACAAGTTTTCCCACATCTGGCTTTTCCCATGCGGTTTCTCCAGTGACTTCGTTGTAGTAATAACGGTTTCCATCATCGTCGTACGCCTCTTTCCAGTCATCGACGACGGTGCTCTCCTTTCCCCTCGGCAAAGGTGACGCTATTTCCTCGCTCCCTTCAGCGAACTGGTAATCCAGTCGTACAGCTCCAGAGTGCGTCATCGCATTTGTGTCAGATGTTTGCCCGATAACGTGAACATCTGCCTGTTGTGAACTCTCCTCAGTTACCCTGGATGCTGCAGGTTGTTCCTTCCAGCGGCTTTGGGGTGGTAAAAACAACGTTGATTGGGGAATGACCCGCATGCCCTCTGCAACAAACTGCGCCTTGCTAAAATAAATCTCAAAAAGACGGCCGTAAAAACTGTTTTCCGTCAACTGCACCTGCTCCCCAATGGAGGCTATCAGGCCGTCAAGGTCTGGCGTGGCAATCGCCTCACGAGACTCAAAGCTAAACAGTCTCGAAGCAACACTCCCGTTGAACCTTCCCACAGCATCTGGTTTATTTGGCAATGAGCCAAGTGGGACAAACGCATCCATATAAAATGAACTCTGAAAATAATATGCGCCGGATGAAATGTCCACAATACCCACATGAGCACTTTGCCAAACGCCACGCTTTTCGCGTAAAGAGAAATGACCTGGACGATTGCCATTTGGGGATTTGGCACGGTGCTTTATCATCACGGCAAGGCCCATCTTGCTTTCTGTGTTGGCCGGGTCACATTCCCATGTGTACACTGAAGCCGTTGATTCTTTTCCGTAATAGAGTTCGGCATATTCTACAAAAACACGATTTGCAGCTGACTCCATTTGGCGAAGCAATCCTGAACTCCCAAGAGGAAAACTAACAAACTTATCGCCAGAAACGTATTTATTACAGAGTGGACAACGATAACTGTCTCCCATTCGGTTATACTCAAATGCTATAAAATAATGAGGAGTTGCAGAAAGCCATTGCGTCGCCGCAGATGGACACTGTAGAACAGGCCATGGAGTATCCACTGGGCTTACTTGTCTGTAGATTATGTTTAAAACAGCCTCCGCATCTCTATATTTACAGAGTGTCACAATGTTATCGAGGATCATCCTGCCTTTCCGTGGAGGATACTGAGCAAGTAATGAGGCCCCTGCGGCCGCCACATCCTCAGCCTTATTAGTGGATTCCCGCATGCTTAATTCTTGAACTCAAAGGAAAATAAAATAAAAGTCAAAGAACTTAAGCCCCATACTACTAGATAAATTAAACAGAGAATCCCCGCAAAATATATTTTTTTAAAATATTTTTCCCTCCTCGCATAAACCCCATGTTGTTCTATATCTGTATTTATATTTTATTACTCCCCTTTGTGATGACTCCTTATCCGCTTTCTTTTTTTTAGGGCCTTTCTTGAGATGGAGGCCTCCTTCTCTCGTTGTGAATCGCTCTCCCACCGTTGAAGGTCCTCTAAAGTAGCCGGAGTTTTTCTGTTTCTCAAATACCATTCACGTACCAGAGCTGCCATTGTATCCTTGTGATCGTCTGGACTACGGCCAAAACGCAATGTCGGTCCTTCAGGAACCTCAAGAGTACCATGACGGTACATCTCTCGCCATTTTTCCAGATAATCGTACTTGGAGCGTCGGGTCACACCTTTTCCTTTGATCTCCAGTGCATTCTCCTCCCTCTTCTGAATGGCCATCACTGAGGCGTCCATCTTCTTTTCGGCCTCTTCAGACAAGTCCGAGAAGAATGTATTGTCGTTTTCTAGAGCTATTTCCTCATCAGACTTGTAAGGTGCCAAATTGTCACGGGACTCTCCTTGCCAAACCAGTTCTCCAGAAAGAGGAACGGGCGCTGCCGTCTCCAACGGTGGTTTTAACGCCCCGCTATCAAAGCAATGATGCGGAAATTGATGATGGTCCGATAGTTCCCCTGGTGTGCGTGCGCCACTCTTCTCAATTTCCAACTGGGTGCTAGTCGTTCGAACTGCATTTCCAATGGCTGAGAGCTGCGGCACTGGCTGGGATCCATCAATAACTTTTTGATACTCCTGCTTGACGACTTGTCGCTCACGCCAAAGTCGTATACCCCACCCCTGCGGCCCTCCACCGTCCTTCGGGTACGAAAACTCTCCACCGTCCATTGCCCAAAGGCTGCCAGCCATTTCCCCTTCTTCTGAACGAATCTGAGGCAGTATCTTTTGCCTGTCGAGACGCGGGAGATGATCCTTGGTCGGAAATGCAGAGTTTATTCCAAGCTGCCTTAGTGCCTCATTTTTCTCATCAAAAGTCTCGCCCTTTGGGGTGCCATCTGTGTTCTCCTCAGCAAACAGCTCATGTTTGCTCGCTGTCTCCCTTTTCCATTGTTCCCACCAGGCAAGTGTGGAAGACGCCGAAATCGGTAGGGGTGTAAGAACAGAATTGCCTTCTGAATCAACATCCGCTTTTGACGATACTGACGATGAAGGCGCGTCCTCATTAAAACCAATGTTCTGCTCCTTTCTTGCAAAGTACTCTTCTCTGGCCTGCATGATGCGCCGTGCACGCCGCTTCATATCGCGTTTGTAACCTGCGGCATTATTTACGCGAACAATCTTCTTCAGGAGCGACGGTCTAATTTGAATGCCAGCGCGCTCCATGGCCTCCAAGTACCGAAGGGCCCTTGCTGTTCCTCCCTCCTCACCGGACGACAGGTGCATAAAAATGAGGCAATCGTACGTCCTTTTAGAAGGGGTCAAATCTTCCTTTAGTACCATTTCTTGAAAAAGTTTTTCTGCCTCATCAATACGCTGTTGATGCGCCAAAAGGGCAATATAGCATTCATAGCTGTAAACGTCCTTTTTAAGATGCCATTCTTCAAATGTTTGGTTCCATATCTTGTTAGACTGCTCTTCAAATCGCCCAATCGTCGTTGTTTGGTCTGGCGAGTGCTCCATGGCCAACATTGTAGTCTGGCAACACAAGCGAAGAAGCGCATTGACAAACGGCAATTGCATCGTCCATCCACGTCGGACAACCAATTCGTAAATGCCAAAACATGTTTCAAGGTGCTCAAGCCATATAGGAAGAGGGTCTTCAGACTTCTCCCTCATCGCAGCATAGTCGAGACGGATAATACTTTGTGCATGTGCTTGAATAGCCCAGGACAGGTGTGTAATGCCCACAACAATTCCGTCATCTCGCATTTTACTTAGATACTTCTCCACGGCTGAAATGTCTCCCACTACTTGAGCGGATCGGATGAGATTGAGGTACGTGTTGGCATTCCAAACAATACCCATAAGTTCCATTTTATGTGCCAGCTCTTCACAACGAAGTCGCATTTCTGGTTTGGGACTCTGACTCAAATGATACATCATTGCGTCGTAATGGGGACGCGATGCAATAAAACCATACACATTCTCCATTTGATCAAAGAGCTGGATTGACTCGGCGAGGGAGTTCATTTGGGAAGAATCCTTGGCAAGAGCCTTCAGCTGAAGAGCAAACGTTACTTCATTTGGTTCGATATTGGCGTACATCTTCATGTTATCCACAATTTGACTCACAGCGGGGTAGTCGTTCGCCTGGTGAAAAGCACGCATAAGTTCATGCCAATTGCCAATACGTGGTGTTATTCCCTTCGCCTTCATTTCTTCTATGAGGGCCATCGACTCATTCACGTCGCCCCTTCGAGAAGCATGTCTCATTAAAGCCTTATACAACTCCGCAGAAGGACCCAATCCAACGGTACACGCAAAATCAAAAATTGCCCGACTCATTGATGAGTATTGCTGCTGTGAAAGGGCAGAGATCACAGTGATCAAACCATCTTCCGTATATTCCAAACCAAATTCTTCCAATATGCATGCAAGCTCCTTGCTGGCGTTACTTAACTCGGAGTTATCGTCGATGTACGCCACTGGGACGTCGGCTCTTGCTGAAAGCTCTGCTGCAGTCATCGTGTCATGCAAAAAAGATTCCGTATCGCTTGATATTATGAGCTCCGATACAGCCTGCTCCAAGTGTTCGTAATTAGAGGAGTGCGAAATTAGCCCTGTTAAGCCATTATTTGGCCCACCAGTAATTGGGGGATAAACTTTGGAATACTTCCCCGAATGCGGCTGCGCGGATGGCGGTGATTGTAATAACCTATTACCAAACTCTAACAAGGCCTGCATGCCTGAAGAGTTGCGTTCCACGGCGCCCACAATATCCTCTTGCTCTTCTTCGGCTGGAAACTGCCAGGCGTACGCCCAGCGCTCAATGGTGTCATCCCATTTTCCTTGCACTGGAGGGCGGTAGTCGGGGGGCAGCGTGCCTTTTCGATACATATCCAACTCCATTTCCTTAGCGCTTGGCCCAAAGGCCACTGCACCCCTAAGAGCAACATGCCTTAATGCTTTTGCGTACGGCGAGAGAGCTTTTGGAAGACACTTTGCCGTGGCCAACATCATAACCACTGTAAGCAAAGAAAAAAAAAAAGACATTTTAAGGTGCAAAAAGAGCATGTTGACTCACAAACAATTCTAAATGGCATCAATAAAAGGACGCCACCCCCTCCATATCCCTTACCCTCCATCACACTTTTTTTTTTTTTGGGGGGGGGGGGGATGACCATCTTTGTGGCAACACTAACCCTACCAACAGAAAGGAAACACGCACGCGCAAATAAGAATTCATCACCTCCTCCACAAAAAAAAAAAAAAAAAAAAAACACGTGTCGTTCGCCCTACCTCTTTCCTTGTTTTTTAATTACTGTTTGACCCCCCATATATGTATATGGCAACATCACATTTATTGTCGTGTTCAGCGTAATAACAATAAAGTTAGGCCACAATTCCCGCCTCTCGTCACGGTGACGCCTCCCAACTCATTCTCAATTTTATCGGCTCCCTCCACTTTCTTAATCCTCCTTCTTTTCATGCAATTCCACCGTGTTGGATACGGATTCCTCTTGTCTCTTCTCATCAGCCGATTCACGGTTAAAAATCTCTTTAAACAGCCAGTTTGTCGAAAAAGCCAAGCCGGATCCAAGGAAACCAAACGTCCATATGTGAATATTGTCCGGCATGGTGAAGACCAACGATAGCCAGCAGAAGAGGAGCGCAGCCATCACAACATTAAAAGTAATCCACACCGCTGGTGACAGCGCAGAGCCTGGCGTGAGAATATGGTTCGCCAAACGAGCCATCCAAGGCAGCTCCCGTACCTCCAACATTCTCCCCTCTTGAAAAGAACAAAAAAGAAAAAAGTCGACTAGGTCAGAAAACACATACACACACAAGTAGACAAAATAAATAAATAAATAGATAACAACAACAAATGCAAAAAACAAAAAAATACTTAAGAGTGGGAAACGCAATTTGTTGTCGTGTGCACACAAATAAAAAAAGAAGGTTGTGCAGCAAACCGCTTTAACACCGAGCTAGAAAGTCTTAATCCACTGTCAACTGAATCCTGTCATGCCATGGAGAACTCAGCTCTACACAATGTGGAGAAAGCCATCGTAATCTACATTTGGTTATCATCGAAAAGAGATCTGGACGTTCCCTGGACTCCGCACTGTCAATTTCTGGAATATCAACGACGAATTTCAATCGAAACTCGGGCATTTGACCTGCAAAAATAATACCCATCAAACCCACAGGACGACTTGCATGCCATATTTTTATGTTTTTCATTTTTTCACTCAGGACTGCAATGTCGTGCCCGGAGTGGTTGCTGCTGTAAGCAACACATAAGATTTTCTCCGGGTGTGAAACAAATGAAGCGACAATGCCAGTTGTTTTCATGTTAATAACCCGCACGATACCGTCATTGTAGCCAACAGCCAAATATTGCAGATGCTGCTGAAAAGAAACATTCGGTAAATAATCTACAGCACGTCGAACTACCTGTGTTACAGGCAACAAGCACGACTTTCTTTCATCTTTGTTAGGGTTGTGAGGGTCAAGAGCTCGAAGAAGAAATTCCATTATGGTTGGAAGGGAATGATACGATTGGAGTGGCGCGAACTCAATGAGCGCACCAAAAAAGGCAATGATGCGGGGTCTCCATGAGCGCTTTTGTTCGTACCACCCCTTCAAACGACTTTCAATAAAATCATTTCCTTCAACACTGGCGATGCTCATGAGAGTTTTAATGGCAAGCGCGCCGTTGTTCTTCTCTCCCTCAAACGCTAAAGTGGCAACAGCATCCACAACGGGTGTAGAATCGATTACCAAGGTTTTTGACAATTCCTGATAATATTCCCTAAGAGTCTGAAGCAACAAAAGTACGCATTTTTTATTCCCTTGCATGTTCAACACCTCTGCCAAACGAGAAGTATCGGATCCAAAGCTCTCTAAAACGCATTTCCAAATAATTCCATCGCTACGCGGCATGTCGCCCAAAAAGGCCATTCGGACGAAGAATCCATAGCACCACACATCTATTTCACTAAGTCTAGTTGAAACGCTGAACCAATGACGGATCGATAACTCTTCTGACGACATGCTGAGTAGATTTTTAAATAGTTTTATTAATTGTTGCGACGTCATTTCTTCGCTTGCCGCCTTTATGCATAAACGAATGGCTTTTTTAGCCGGATCAGAAACCTCTAAAAGAAGAGAAAGGGCTTGAATAATAAGCCTTTCCGGTATTGGTGACTGTTCAATAAGCCCTGATCTCACGAGTGTATCACTCAGTGCCTTAACTTCTGACGTAGAAATCAAATACTTTAACCCTGTAGAAGGTTTAAGCGCTTTTGTAAGAAGAACAACCGCAAGAAGATACTTCGCAGACTGCTCCGCAGAGACGGTACAGACGGAAAAACTGCCTCCATTGAACCCTCTTTCGGGTAAACCAAGCAGGTCATGAATTTTGGAATCCAAACAATTAAAGCCAGAAAAGAGGATGGACAAAGCCAATCGACATGCCAGAGGCGCGCCATATGCATCTCGTTGAGTCAAGGTATCTATGAGAGGAAGAACATTCACTATCAATGAAAAGTGAATTCTTCCACAAATGGCAATTCGGTCAATTATGACAGGGCCGATCTTTGGAGAAGTTAGCAGGTTTCGTCGCTCCGGACCTTCAGATATCGCTGAGACATCATGAATTACTCGCTCCAAACGACATGTGGGTATATGCCAAAGATTCCCAGCACTCCCAGAAACTGTATACACATAATCGGTTTGTGAATCCCATATAAGACTGGTAAGAGGACCACATGGGGACTGGAAAATACGGGTGCATTCAAAAGTTTCGGAGTGATGAATCACCACAGTTCCACGTTCCGTACAAACAGAAACAAAGTCTGCTTCTAAGCGCCCTTTTTCCCCAGGCAAAAGAATAATTCTGTCCACAGCCCCTGCGTGAACCATGGGAATGACACATTTCGGTGCTCCAGAAAGCCATACATTTATGCCACCGTGTTGATACCCCATAACGAAAATAATATCTTGTCGCTTATAAAGTAAACAACAAGTGACTTGATCCGTTTTTTCTTCATAAGCCAAGAACTGTGATTTGACCTGAGAAGCAGATGTTAAAAAGGCTATGCATTCGCCTGAGCATTTCACATTGATCACGGCAATACCGTTCTCAAATGGTACAATATCAATTAGAAAAACATCGGGTTTCTCCATTTTATTCTCACACATCTGCAGGAAGCGTCTATGGCTGTTACTATCAGTAACAAAAATTGCTTCTGGTATACCGTTGCACAATGATTCCATACATGTTACCGTCAAAAACATAAAATACTTAGATTGCCCAAATAAAATTGCACTGCAACAAGATGTCAGGTCAATATGTTTGTTTGATACAATATTAATCCCACCCTTCCCTTCCCCATTCAAACAGATAGAGAAAGGAAGCGCCATGCCATCTGCGCGTGTTACCACAAACACTTCATCCACCCAGCAACCAGATACATAAGGAACGCTCATTTCATTCTCGAGAAAAACCGCGTCAGATAATGTGGTACCTTGCCAAACCGAAAATTGAACCAAATTTTGCCAAACTGAAGCCACAGCAAAAGATGTTCCATAGTTTCTTACGTATGAGTGGGCGCCCAAGTTCCATAAAGGGGATTCCAAAGATACATTCATAGAACTTTTTTCATGCTCGTCTTCATTTTCCTCCGGCAATGTTGAAGTCACAAAGACATGTACCTTTCGGCTTAGTGGAAAGGTTACCACAACACGGATAGTATCGGCTTTCACTCCCCAAATTGCTGTGGAAGAAGATGGAAGACCTAGTTCGGAAAAAATCCCCTGCCTCGATATGCTCAAAAGAGCACTGTCACGAAAGTTTACAACTCCACACAAGCCTTCCCCTGTCAAAATAACCATAAGCGCCGAGTTAGGCACTATGCCACAACAAACAACACCACTCAATTTCCCGTAAGAAATAAAATGGCCCATAAAAGCACGTCTTTGCTTTTCAGGTTGAACACATCCAATACAACAATTGGAGGACACCAATACAACCTCATCAAAGGATGAAAAGGAGACATGAACCATTTCGCTACCGTAGGTAAGATGCAGGTTCTTCAGTGAAATCGGGCATGGCAGCGAGGGCCGTGGAGAATTAAAATCGCTCACAGTGCCGTTAACCCCTAACAGGCATAGCATTGATGAGTCAAACCCATACTGCCGGAAAAGAAGAGTCCCATCTAAACGGTACTTGTCTCCAGCCTCAAAGCTGCAGATGACAGCCTGAAGCTCGTCGTTTGCCACAAACCATTCACCTGAAGGTGAAACTACTACTGAAGAAAAAACCCTTCTTTTTGGAAATTTCCAACCTTCTCTGGTGACAGTTACATATGAAGTTATTTCATAATTGGCAAGTGGGAGACTCAATTTCATTCCATCTGTTAAATTGCTTTTAAACCTAAAGCAACAACAACAACAACATCATCAAAAAAATAAAATGCATGCTTTTCCGTGGGAAATGGGCAAACAGACGCTCTTTCACATAAGATATATAAAAATATAAACAAAATCAATCTGCTATTCCTGTTGGTATTATTTAATTTTTCTTGTTTATATTAATGGGATACTTTCTTTTCAGAGAGAATCCTTTTCAGGTCCGTTAGACGTTGGAAAAGCACCTGTATTTTCCTACTTGCATCTTCCATTTCCGAAACGGAGTGCTCAAAGGTAATTTCAGCAACCCGTGGACGATTCACGAAAAAAGGCAAACGCAACTTATCACTTGGGTTGTGACACCCTAAACTACTAATGCTGATGAAGCCCGAAAGAGAGTCAACCATATTATCAACCTTCAGCGGAACGAAATTTTTATTTGTAAAGGAGTATTTGGCAGAGTCGAATGGGTATACTGATTGAATAACAGAATATTCCAACGTATTTGTACCAGTTGAAGGAGATGCGTCTGGGTGGAATGTCACCAAAAGCAATAATAAAGGGTACGAAGAAGAAAAACTTTCACTTTGGGTGTCAAACAAAATTTTTTTTCCGAGCAAAAACCTAGTGTCCTCAAAGGAAAGTTTGTGAGGCCCAGATCTTCGAGCCGACGCATACCCCAAAAAGGTGGCTCCCTCAGGCGGTAACACTCCCAAAGGTAATACTGTTGTCACAATTGCCTCTAACACTGACAAATTTTCTGTATTGTCAGTGTCGCCTTCACGAACTTCGTAATGACCAAATAAATTGTAGTTCCGCTTTGTAGCACCACACAAACTCAGAACCGAGGATACAAGATACGAAAAAGTCACCCCTGAAATATGAACTTCGCACTTTTGCTGCATGACCACCTCCACAGAAATAAAAAAAAAGGAAAAATATATACATTGGCCAAAATTATATATATATATATATATATATATATATAAGTAAAAAAACTAACCACTGTATTAAAACTGTAAACTGGCATGGATCCATCCAGATGATTTCCAAATTAAGTTCCTCACACAATCGTAACCTTCAAGAAGTAGTATCAAAAAGCCAACAAGAAAAGTTAATTAGGATTTTCTACAAGCTCATTTTATCAATGACCAAAAACACTATATAAGCTGACTATAATCCTCAACTGAAGGGCTTCTAGACTTCCACTGAAAAAGGGCAGCTGCCACAACAACAACACCGACAATTCCTGTAACAATAGTAATAAGAAAACCTTTTGACGGGAATTTGTCTCTTCCTGGAGGTTGATACCCCGGACACACAGTCGTGGACGCAAAACGAAATACGTATTTCGTGATTTCCGTCTCATTGGCAGATAAAGCACGTAAACCATTTATAGACTCATCGCATTCAACATAAACATCCGCCATCAATGTATTTGGAGATCGAATAGTAAAGAAAAGAGTATCATTTTCGAGACTTACATTATCTGAATGAGTAAAAGTACCCTCACAACCCTTCTCGTATATAATCATATACCCAAAGTCACATTCCTCACCAAACGCGCTAAACTTTTTTGGCCAACAGAAGCTCACCCCAAGATCAATTTTCACGTCACCAAGCATAACCGAAACATTCCCATAATTTGAAAGATACTCCAAGGAAATAGACTCACCTGTATCACTGGTATTAACGCGACATGTCTCGGCCTGCGCCACGCAGGCCATTACAATAATTTCCAGAACAAATAGCAGGCACTTCGCTTTCATTTCAACTATAGAAAAACACCCTACGCAGCAATAATGGAGAAAGAGAACAATGCAGTATAGATATCCATAACAGACACAGGGTTTAAAAAAAAAAAAAGCTTTAAAACCAAATGCACTTCCAAATGTTATATAAAACTCAATTTATCATTAACAACGCCGCCCGTCTCAAAAACAGAGCGCGCGGTCCAATATGTAAAAAATGAAAACACACCCCGGCCCACATTCGGGGCTCGTCGCGGCGGGCGCTCTCATCGCGTTTGGCGTGTTTTCCCCGTGCGGCCCTGCCGGGGCGTTTGCGTTTTGGGCTTGTCTTCGCGCCCCGCTCCGGCGAGACTGGAGGCGGGGGCGGAAGGGCGGCCAGCCCGGATGTTATTGTGGAGCGGGCTGCGGTATATGCTTGGGGGACGGGTGTGGAAGATGAGCGTGGGAAAATGCGGCTTCTGTCCTGTAGCCGATCTTGCTGGTGTGGTGCGGCTTGTCCCGCCAATTCCCATTGCTGTTCGTGGCGTTTCTTGTAACATTTTTTTTTGTGTAAATTTTTGGAAGAACACAACTTTATTGAAGCAGGGAACCGATAGAGGCCAGATAATATTTAATTTTCATTTTGCCACCCCACCCACCCCCTTTTGATACCCACCACGCGGCGGGGTCTTGTGGTTGGAGGACCCCAAAGTCTGCCACTTCGTAAGTAACAATATTCAAATCCCAACTGAGGACAAGAGGCCACGTGAGCGTTGAAAAGAATATATATTTAATTAGAAGACATTGAGGCAATTAAATGCCGCTGCCCTACCTCCTTTTATCCATCTTATTTGGTTTCTATGGATTATTTTAGGATTCGGTTAGCTGCCCAGAAGATTATTCTCGATAATACTGTTTTTAACTAATAAGGTACCATCTATACAGAATAATATAAATTCACACACACACACACACACACACACACACGTACAAAGAAATACATAAAACGCGATTGGTTCCGCGTATTATAAGCATTTTATATACTCATTGGGGGAATTCTGTATGGCGGCGAGGAATAGAAGGATTCATAATTGAGCAATAGAATGGGCTAATTTGATTAAATACCAGAAGTTTTTTTTTCTCTCAGTAGTCTATTTTTATTTTTTATTATTCTGTTCATGACACTGGAAGACGTGAGATGCCAAATGCATTGTTGAGTACATCACGTATTTTGCAGCATTGAATAATAAGAAACGAGTATCTGATTTGGCGTGCCATGTTTGCTATGCCTATTTTTCGATTCTTTTAATACTGTTTGAATTTACTGTAAGTTGTCAACGGATAAAAATGAAATGTTTTTTCTCACAATAAACTTTAAATGAATTAATGGAAGTCGAATTTACCGCCATGTTCTGCTATAAATTACTTTTTGACGTAACAATTTCATTTTTGGACACAATATATATGTGAATGATACTGTGGTGTATTTAAATGATGCTGACAAACCATTCCCATGAATATCAGGATGGCGTTTTGCACGCTAGAGAGGCGCAACGGCTTTTATATAGGAGAAAAAGCTTGTCACATGCTAAAGTTTTTTCCAGGATCTTTAAAAATTTTCTTGACCACTGCTCACTAGGAGCTTGTGAAGAGAGTGTTCACGGGGCAGGCGGGCTATCTAATTTAACATATTTATCTTGATAAAAATAGTCTATCGCTGTACGTCATTTTTTCTATTTATTTCTGTTTGGCTAAGATTGAGGGATTCAAGGAACCAACAGCGTCTAGAAGATTTGTAATAATTTTTATTTTTATTTTTGCCATCCATCCTCTTTCATTCCGACCTCGTGACGGAGTCTTGTGGCTAGAGGAAGCTAAAGCATTCCGCTTTCTAAGGAATAATATCTACAATTCTAACAGATTACACCGTGTCTTGAGAGAGGTTATCGGAATATATACTTGGGATAAACATCGAGGGTATGGCGAGGCCACTGCCTTTCTATTGCCCCCTTCTTGTTTCCGTTCTATTTATATAGACAAGCTCAGGATTCAGCCAGCAGCACAGGCAAATATTCAACGTAATTAAACAGGCGTTACCTTCACACGGAAATATCAACCAAGAGTCAAAATTCAAGCGTCAAGGTGAAAAGAATGCCCCGATTGCTCCTTTACGTGCTTGTTTTGTTTTTTCTTTTCAATTTTTGCCCCAATGTGCCTGCTCATGCCCTGGCACCCGGATCGAGTCGAATTGAACTGTTTAAGCGTAAGAATTCGACGGTGCCGTTTGAGGAGAACGGCAAAGTCACCGAGCGGGTTGTCAACTCGTTCCGCCTCCCCGCCCTTGTTAATGTGGACGGGGTGATGGTTGCCATCGCGGACGCTCGCTACGACACATCCAATGACAACTCCCTCATTGATACGGTGGTGAAGTACAGCGTGGACGATGGGGAGACGTGGGAGACCCAAATTGCCATCAAGAACAGTCGTGCATCGTCTGTTTCTCGTGTGGTGGATCCCACAGTGATTGTGAAGGGCAACAAGCTTTACGTCCTTGTCGGAAGCTACAATATTTCTAGAAGCTACTGGACTTGGCAGCCTGATGGAAGCGACTGGGATATTCTGCTTGCCGTTGGTGAGGTTAAGAAGTGTACTGTGGACGGCAAGACAACTGCGAATATCACATGGGGGAGCCCTGTGTCACTGAAGGAATTTTTTCCGGCAGAAATGGAAGGAATACACACAAAACAATTTCTTGGCGGTGCAGGTGTTGCCACTTTGGCGTCCAACGGGAATCTTGTGTACCCTGTGCAGGTTGCGAACATGAAAAAACAAATTTTTTCCAAGATCTTCTACTCGGAAGATGATGGCAAGACGTGGAATTTCTCAGAGGGTAGGAGCGATTTTGGCTGCTCCGAACCTGTGGTTCTTGAGTGGAAAAATAAATTCATCGTAAACACCCGAGTTGACCGGGCGCGCCGTCTGGTGTACAATTCCGGTGACATGGAGAGACCGTGGGTGGAGGCTGTCGGCACGCTCTCGCGTGTGTGGGGCCCCTCACCAAAATCGGACCAGCCCGGCAGTCAGAGCAGCTTCACTGCCGTGACCATCGAAGGAATGCGTGTGATGCTCTTCACACACCCGCTGAATTTTAAAGGAAGGTGGCTGCGCGACCGACTGAACCTCTGGCTGACGGATAACCAGCGCATTTATAACGTTGGGCAAGTATCCATTGGTGATGAAAATGCCGCCTACAGCTCCGTCCTGTACAAGGATGATAAGCTGTACTGTTTGCATGAGATCAACAGTAACGAGGTGTACAGCCTTGTTTTTGCGCGCCTGGTTGGCGAGCTACGGATCATTAAATCAGTGCTGCAGTCCTGGAAGAATTGGGACAGCCACCTGTCCAGAATTTGCACCCCTGCTGATCCCGCCACTTCGTCGTCAGAGCGTGTTTGTGGTCCCGCTGTCACTACGGTTGGTCTTGCTGGTTTTTTGTCCGACAATGCCACCCAAAACGTATGGGAGGATGCGTACCGCTGCGTCAACGCAAGCACGGCAAATGCGGAGAAGGTTCCGAACGGCTTTAAGTTTGCGGGGGTTGGCGGAGGAGCGCTTTGGCCGGTGAGCCAGCAGGGGCAGAATCAACGGTATCACTTTGCAAACTACGAGTTTACGCTGGTGGCGTCGGTGACGATTCACGAGGTTCCGAGGGACGCGACTCCTCTGCTGGGTGCGAGCCTGGACTCTTCTGGCGGCGAAAAGCTCCTGGGGCTCTCGTACGACGAGAAACACCAATGGCAGCCAATATACGGATCAACACCGGCGACGCCGACGGGATCGTGGGAGGTGAACAAGAAGTACCACGTGGTTCTTACGATGGCGAATAAAATGGGCTCCGTGTACATTGATGGAGAACCCCTAGCGGGTTCAGGACAGACCGTTGTGCCAGACGAGGGCACGCCTGACATTTCCCACTTCTACATTGGCAGTTATAACAGCAGTAATATGCCTACGGAAAGCCATGTGACGACGAAAAACGTTTTTCTTTACAACCGTCAGCTGAATGCCGAGGAGATCAGGACCTTGTTCTTGAGCCAGGATCTTGATGGCGTGGAAGAAGACAAGGACAGCAGCGACGACGGAGACGAAAACGACGGAGACGACAGCGACGGAGACGACAACGACGATGCATCGTCACTGTCTGCTGGTGGAAGGAATCTCGTGTATGTGTGTGCTCTGGTGCTGCACCTGCTTGTCCTTGTTTATTTTTGACTGATATGGCTGAAGAGATGCATTATATAAGTTCATATATATTTATGAGTGGTTGAGATACTAAGCACGCCGTAGCTGTGTGCCTGCACGTTCAGAATATATGTTTACCTTTCTTTTTTTTTTTTTTTTGGCGTTTTGCGATACTGTCGAGCTTTTGAGGAGGAAAACACGGGGCGTCCTCAAAAGAGTTCTTGTTTATGTAGAGCCGCACCCTCATAATACAATGTGTTGAAAGCAAAATATTTTTTCAGTTATGTGGGAATAAGTGGATTTATTGTATGAAGGATAGGGTTTATGTAATACCAACAGCTGCGCAGAGCTATGAAGACAAGAACTGTGTTTCCTTGCAGCATCCCTTTTTTTTTTTTTTTGCACCAAAAGTGAACGTAGTGGATCAACCGTATATGTTTCACTAGTGGTATTTTTTACAACAAAGAGTTTATTTTTGTTTTTTTTCTGGTATGTAAATGCGCGGTATATTGTGATCTGCTGGGGAGGGGGGAAGGTGCGCTGTTGCCCCGCTCTAATTCTCACTGTCGTGTGCGTGCTGCATTTTCCGTCTTTTTTTTTTTTTTTTTTTTGAGGAAACGGTGTCTCTTTTTACATATTTCGGCCTCCGAGTCAGCAGTGAAAATATCGCCGGCGCCTTGGCTTGCCGTTTTGGTCTGCATTGTTTGTTTGCCCAATGGTCAGACGGCTCAAGAGACTCCCGTCAAGCATTACTGCAGCGCATCACTGTGGATGCAGGGCTGTGCGCTGCCAATTTCGCGGTGGCTGCGGCTGCACCGCACAATTACCCGCCCAGGTGTGCCCACTTCACGCGGAATTGTGACGATACGCGAGGAGTCAATGTAGCGCGGCTTTGAAGCTTTGGCCGGAGGCTGAGACAAAACCACCGCGACACCCACAAGACATTGGGCGCGGGCTCTGTAGGAGCAGTCAAGCCGCCCGGGCTTGGCTTTCCGACGTCGGACAAGTGAGTGGAACCTGCGTTGTGCTGAGGAGGGTCACAGCCTTGACTGGCCAAAGGTGTAGACACTGCGGGGGTGCACTAGATCATACTGGCGCCAAAAAATGCGCTTTTGATTGGCACTTCAATCCTTATCCAGCGATTTCGTCCTTTGCACGCATAGGGAGAGAAGGTGATCTCTCATCTGCGTATTTCTGCCGCATCATTGCTGTTTTCTGCAGCAGTGTGATTTCACCAATAATCTGAGGAGCGTTGCACACACTGCGGTAAACTTCTTTCTTCTCCATGTTGCAGTCATGAATGGGTTGAAACGACGACTGTCTGTCGGCTGCTGCTGCCGTTGTTGTGAGGCGACTGCCCGCGTCTTTGCGGAGGACACTTTCATACCACACAATGTGACGGACGTGCACATGCAGCAAGGCGCTAAACTCTGCGCTGCGGAGAGCGAATCGGCCATTCATTTTCCCAAACATGTTTATGAGAGGAACGTAAGGGTGGCCACTTGCTTTCTGCAGGAAGGCAATCGACTCTACCACGATGCGCTCGTATGAATGAGTATATTTCTTTCTTTTCGTGACTCTTATGCGTGCAGCGCGAGGTCTGTCTTTGACATACATCGGATCACAGCTGGCAACTGTGTCGTACGCAATGTCACATTTTATCTCGACACACACACGTGCCGAGCACGAGCAAAGACAATATCAAAAAATGCTCAAGCACATCAGTGAGCACTGCGGCAAATTGGCACGGATGCTCTCTCTTTATTTTGTGACGGGACAATGCGATGGTGCGCCCTGCGCCTGTTGCCTGCGCACTCATAGGCACGTTCTAAAATGGAGCGCGTAGTTTTGCGAAAGGGCTCTGTGTGTCAACGCGACAGGGAAACACGGTTGGCGGTGGCAGGAGTTCTTTCCGGAACAGCACTGGAGTGCAGGGTTCCCGGTGCCGGTCGCTCGCCGAGGTGGGGACGGCTCTCAGGGATTGCCCCGAGCATTGCTTCTTAATGCCGTTGTTGTTGTTGATGGCCAATAGCTGATGGGAGGGCGAGAGATAGTGTGCTGTCGTGTGATTTCTCACAGTGGCACTCGTTGGAGCGATGCATGTGTGTTTGCCTTGCGGATGTGGTGTTTTGGATCCCTATTTCACGCTATTCGGTGGCGCAGAAGTGGACGGGGAAGTGATGCTGTCACGAGCCGCACAGGCGGGGCGGACACGGTTACGCGAGCCTGTGGAGGATTCGAGCAAATCCAAGTGTGCTATGCGGTTTGAGTCTACAGGGAAGGAAGAAACAGTGGGCGGTGAGGGGAGTTGCAATGCACGCGGCTGCGGAAGATGACATGCGTTGCTGAGTTCACGTTGACTGCCAATTTGGGTGCTTTTTCTCGAGGCCGGGAATCCCTTCTAATTTACTTGGAGGTGCTTGATGACACCAGACGTGGAAGGCATTTTCATTTCATACGAGGATGGCGCACGGGAGTCAATGAAGAAAGAGAGCGACGCCTCGCCAAAGGAGCGGCTGCTGGAACGTTGACGAGGCTCGGGATTGTTTGCACGGCCAGCTGCTTGCCCTTGACAGGATGTTCATTGAGGCGTTCATTGGCGCGAGAGTGAGGTGCACGCACGGGAAGGCACCGCAACAACCGTGTCATTGGTTCTCCGTTGCACGAATGAGACGACGCATGTCAGGCGTGGCAGGTGACGTCCCCTGTGAGCTCTTCTCCCACCGCCTCTTCTGCTTCACACCTTGGCATTTTCTGCGCTGTGAAAACCGCTCCCATTGGCCGTCTTCTGTGACACGAGAGCCACCTGTATTCCTCGCCGTCGCATTGAAGAGTCGTGAGGAGGCCTTGAGGCTGCGTTGAGGAGCCGTGTGGCCTCTGCGAGCACGTCCTCTGTTTTTCTGAGGTGTTGAATTTTGGATTACCGAAACGCACCTTGAGTGCTTGCGTCAGAGGCTCGCATAACTGAGGGACAGACGTGTTCGTGGAGGTGCAGGAGGGCCGCGCCATTGGGAGGAGGAAGAGTGAATGGGTGGGTGGTGGTGTCTGTGGCCCACATTTGGTGCCCGACTGGTGCTTCACGTTGTTTGGTGCTGTTATCATTTGCATCCGCAAAGAATGGCATTGGGTGCTGCTTTTCCCAACTCTCTTGCTGTGTCTGTGTGTTGCGTGTTTGTGGGCATGACTCTTCTTCCGTGCTGTGCATTTGCCGCGTAAGCTGTCGATGGTCTTTGTGGCATATATGATGATTTGCCGTATTTTGTTGGATTGTGCTTTGATCTCCGCCGCGGGATGACGGTTTGACTGGAGGCGTTACTTTTCCTTCACTGTGATCACGTGCGATGTGTATGGGAGGCCTCTCGGGGAAGCGCCAGCCGACGTTCTTGTGAGGCCCATGTATGGTGCCATACTTTTTATTGACGCGGAATGAGTTGGCGTTTTGCATGCAACCCTCTGTGCATTTTTGCCGTGGTGCTCCTCATGGATGGCCCATGGAGACGACTGGCTGAGAATTGTCAATGGGCTTCTCAATGAGCCGAGGGGAGCATACTGCCTTGTTTACTGATTGAGAGCCCGGGCGTCACGGATGATGCATGTGGCAGGCGGAACCTCGTGCATGGCTGAAGGAGAAGACTAAGGGCTGGTTGTTTGATTGTTACTGACGAGCCCTGTCTCACTGCTTGGAGGGGGCTGTTGTTCGCTGGGTCAACCTGTTTTGTGTGTCCAGACACTGCTTGCGCCGAGTAGCGGGGTGCCGTGTTGGTGTGTGCGGCTCCATCATGCGGGGCAGCAGCGTGACGTATACGGACTGCGTGTCTGTGGGTTGATGCATGTGGCGGGAGGCGTGTCTGAGGGGAATCCGCGAAAGGAGGAGTGGCATGCGTTTGGCGGTGCTGCTGTGCGAAGTGCGAGGGAGGAAGAAACACAAGTGCTTTCTGACATGTCGGTGGGTGTGCCACGGCCACCGATGAGTTCTCAGGGAGAGGGAAAGGCGGGAGGGAGACGGAGACTGTGCACATCCACTGCGGCGTGTGGTGCGACAGGATGCGGTTGCTATTGTGAAGGGCGCAACGGCCGTCATGCGTACAGCAGAGCGTCACCTGCATCTTTGTGTCTGCAGAGCGTGTGGGTGCTGCGAGGAGGTGCAGGCGACCTCTCATCATTGGGCTGCTGAGGCTGTTTTTCCTCTCTGCTCAGCGGAAGAAGCAACCCTTCCTGCAGGCGATGTGCTGTTCTGCATTGATGCTCCCCACAGGGCATCACACCGTCGTGCCGTTGCAGTGCAACTCTCGTGTCCCTCACTGCACACGTGGCTCCCTGTCGCTTGGCTTATTTGCAGGGCCATGGCCCGCGGCCCCCATTGGGAGGCTGCTCGCTTTTTAAACACTTTACATTTATTTATGTTGTTGAGGGTACTGGGGAGTAATGGCTGCGGGGATGGTGCCACTCACTGTGGATGGGTGACGGTGTGTGCTGTTGTTTTGCAGCCTTTCTTCCGCTGTTGTTTGTTGCTTCCCTCCAAGAAGGAAAATAAACGCTAAACACTACTGTGAAATTGTGAGGCACTGAAAGGACCAACAGCACACATACACATCGCCCACCCACACCTACTTACATGCTCTCACGTGTTGCTGTGATGGCACCCCGCACACACAACCGTCGCCGCGTGACCGGCTCCAGCGGAAGGAGGAGGGGAGGAGGAGAGAGTGAGCCGCAGAGGCCCAACATGTCCCGGCGTGTGTTTGCTTCCGCGATGCTCCTCCTCGTTGTGATGATGATGTGCTGCGGCACCGGCGGAGCTGCTCACGCTGAGCAGGCAGGGGCCGCTGTTGATCCTTTTAAGGAGATGACGCCGATATCATTTGCTAATTGGAGGGAGTTGAAGGAGGAGGGCAGGGAAATCACCTCGCTCCGTGTTTCTGGCCTTGTTAAAGTGGGTGATGATGTATTTGCCGTGGCTGAAGCGCGGTGCGGGGAAAAGGATGGAGCCGGCAGCTGTGCTGGGATTGTCTCAAAGCACCTGGATATAAGTGATGGACCAATGGATATTTCGACGTCGGATATAAGTTTGTTTCGCATGCAACTTGTGGAAACTGCCGAGAATAATTTTTGGACAACAGAATTGTTGCGGCCAACGACACTTGTAATTGAGGACAGTGTCTACATGCTGGTGGGGAAATACAGCCATACAGAGAAGCAGGTTGAAGGTAAGAATGAGCGGGGCCTTTTACTCGTGAAGGGAACTGTCACGGTGGATGGTGGAAACAACAAGAAACTTGTGTGGAATGAGACCCATGTGGTGGAGCCTCAAGGCAAAGGAGCATCTCTTTCCTTGACCGAGTTAATTGGTGGTGGAGGATCGGGTGCTGTGATACGTGACGGCACGCTTGTGTTTCCCATGCAGGCCAAAAAAAAGGATGGAACGAGCGTTTTGCTGTCTATGAGTTTTATCCCGTCAAAGAACAAATGGGAGCTTTCACTCGAGACGCCTGGTAACGGCTGCAGGGATCCAACCCTGGTGAAGTGGAAAGAAAACGAAGACGAGGAAAGACTCTTCATGATGGCTCATTGTGCTGGAGGCTACTATGACGTTTACAGGTCCATTTTGCATGTAGTCAATTGGTATCCATATGGTGAGCCAATTACTCGCGTGTGGGGCAACTCACACAATCGAACAGGGTACGGCGTCCAGAGTGGATCCACGACAGCAATCATTGAGGAAAAGGAGGTGATGCTCATCACCGCGCCGGTGTATCCGAAGGAGGACAATGGAAAGGGTCGGCTCCATCTTTGGGTGACGGACAATGCACGTGTGCATGATGTTGGGCCGGCATCCCGTGAAAATGATGACGCCGCCGCCAGCTCGCTGTTGATGAAGGATAATAATAAGGAGTTGATTTCACTGTACGAGAACAAGAAGAGCGATGGATCATACAATCTTGTTGCTGTGCGTCTGACGGAGCAGCTGGAGCGGGTAAAGGAAGTGGTGAAGACATGGAAGGATTTGGACAGCGCCTTGCAATGCTGCAGTTCCAGTTCAAGTGGCACTGTTGACGTGCGCAAAAAGGGTATGTGCAATGGTCCTGTTCCCACTAACAGGCTTGTTGGCTTCTTGTCTGGTAACTCAACTGTGACCGAGTGGCGGGACGAGTACCTCGGCGTGAATGCAAAAGTGAGGAATGGGAAGAGAAGTGTTTCCAATGGATTGACGTTCCAAGGATCATGGGCGGAGTGGCCTGTTGGCGACATGGGGCAGACTGTGCCGTACTACTTTACAAACAACGAGTTTGCGCTTGTGGCGACGGTGTCCATCCACGAGGTGCCGAAGGAAGACAGCAGCCCCGTTCCTTTGATTGGCGTGAGGATGAATGACACCAGCAGCACGGTCCTCTTTGGTCTGTCGTACACCCACGAAAAGAAGTGGTTGGCCATACCGGGGAAAAGTGCTGCCTCGCAGTTCGTCGATGGGTGGGAGCCAAACAGGACTTATCAGGTGCTGTTGCAAATGGATTATGATTATTGGACGATCGTTGTGGATAAAGAGGAAATCGACCACAAGAGCTATGATAAGAATCTGTTCAACTCGCACAGGATTTCACACTTCTACATCGGTGGGGACAGTAAGCACCAAAGTGCAACGGACGGCCACGTGACAGTGACCAACGTCATGCTGTACAATGAGAGACTGTTGGATCATAAGCTGGATGAACTCCACGCCAGCAAAGTCAATATTCCATCACTGAGTGTTGAGGAACAACCCAAAGGACAGGTGGCCAGCAAAGACGTCTCGGTTGCTTCCGAGTCAAAGAGTGAAGAAAGCGCCACCAGCCATGAGGAATTGAATGAGAGTGATACTAATGAACAGGGAGAAAACAGCGCCGAAGATCCGGTGCCTGCAGCTTCCTCTTCCACGGTTGTCGGAGGATCCTCTATTTCCGAACCCGCCACCGCAACGGAGATTGCAGGGGCTTCTCTTCCAGAGGACAATGCCCAGCTTTCCGAAGGCAAAACGGTCCAGCAAGCCACGCCGCATGAACCGAAGGATTCGATGCAACAGGATTCAGATGTGCAGCCACAAGACCCACAGCCAGCGGAATTAACGGGGGTCACTGAGTTGGAAACATCCTCTGAAGGTAATGATACAGAAGAGCCAGAGGAGGATGGAGGAACGAATGACAGGAGTGGCGGATCAACGTCCTCAGTGGGTGCGTCATTGAGTATGGCCACTGCCACTGCATCAGTGTACGGTGAGCACCAAGTGCAACAAAGCATTGAGCTTTCCGCTGAAAACAACGACGTGCGGTCCACTGGAACCGGAACCACCGGCGCGGAGCAAAGCCTCAGCCTCGAGGTGGGGGACAGAAATTCCGAGAGAACAATGAACTCAGACAGCACCCTCACTTCTTCAAAGAGTGACGCCGAACCGACATCCGCGGAGAACACCGACGACGTCTTTCGGACTGAAGGAGCCGAAGTTTCTTCTGAAGACGGCAAGGAGGTGCCACAGACGGTCGACACCAAATCGGGTAATACAAGCACAGCGCCTGAAGAGGAAGGGATCCCCTCAACAAAAGGCGCGGCACGACACTCGGACAACGACATCTTCAACACCAGCGAAGTTGCGGATTTGCTGTCAACGGCTCTTAACCGTGATAGCACCGTGCATTTGTGTGTATTTCGGGTGTTGTTGCTGCTGCTTCTGGGGTTATGGGGCATTGCGGCTCTCTGTTGAATGAATTGGGGAGAGCAAAGTTGCGAAATTCTGTGGAGCAACAGCTGAGCGGCATCCCAGCAATACTCAATGAATTTTGTTAATTTCATTTTTTTCTTTTTCTTTTTTTTTCGAAAATCACTTTTCTTTATTTGCTTGTTGCCTTGGGGCAAACACTATGGAAGTTTTTTTTCTTTTTTACTCTTCCCTCTTCCTGTGAGGGGTGCCGTGTGTTTCCGCCCAACTGCTCCACTCGCACACCCACCGACACGCTCATGACGACGGCCCTGTGCGCCTCGCCTGCTGCACGCATGAGGAGGGGCCGCGACGAACGGCGCGCTGAGGGAGCCGTGACGTGTGGGCGTGCGGCGAGGGCCTGTGGGGCGGAGCACACATTTCTTTCCCTCTTGTTTTGCTTTTCTTTGCGGTCAGGGCTGGCAGACACCCGCAGCGCCACACACACAGCCACACCCTGCCGCTTTTTTAGGATTTTAGTTTGCTTTGCGTTTTTTTTTTTTTTTTTGCGCTGGCGCACCCTTCGGTGTCGGCCTCGTGAGCATTTCTTTTTCTTTTGCCGCGCTCACTCTCCTGATGGAGTGACGCGACTCCCGTCATGTCTGCGTGCTTCTCTCAGTCCCCCCACACGAGTGACTGTGCTCTGCGGGCCGCACTCACGCGCCGATGAGAGGGCTGAGGGGAGCAGCAACACGCAGATGACCGCATGAAATATAAACGATGTACGGACACATGGAGGGTCGGACGGTTGAAGCACACGTAACCATCTTTTTAATTTTCTTTTGCGGGCAAAATATGCAGACAATTTCTGGAGCAAGATGATAGTTAGGTGAAATTTTTGTGTGGCTTTTCTTTTTTTCTTTTTTATTATTTGTGTGTAGCTGTAATAGAGGGCGACTTTTTTCATTCTTTTTTTTTTTTCCTTTTTTATTGTTTTTTCTTTTTTCCAAAGTGTGAGGAGCGGAAGGGTGAAGATGAATTTTTTTTTTAATAAATTTTTTATGAATTGCCGCTGCTTTCTCTGCAGTGCAATATCATGAGCTTGAGCAGTCCTTTTCTCTTTATTTCTGCCATGCACCTCTGCTGTACATTTTTGCTTGTGCGTCCCTTCACATGCTCTGCCCCTGTTTTTACTTACTTGCCTCGTGTGTCTGCAGGCGCACACAACCACATGCATGCACATTGCAGTGGGTTTTGATGCTTCTTTTGTAGCGTGTGCTGGCGGTTGCGGGTGGCTGCTGCTTCCTCTGTGGGCATGAAGGGAAGTAGGAGAGAGGGAGCGCGTACCGCTTAGTCACTCTTCCTGCGGGTGTGATGCAGCGCGGTGGCTATGACTGCTGTGGAGTGCCGCATCCTTTCGGTGTGCGCCTCTCCGCCGTTTTGTCTTGCGTTTGCGTATGTCATTTGTTGTGCGCGTGTGCGTGCTGGGCATGTTTTCCCGGAGCGTTGGGCGGCCACCACCATTCTTTTGCGGTTTGTGTGAGTGGGCACGTGCGGATGGGAGCAGGGCGCATGGAATGAAGGAATGGCTTGAGGAAAGGGGAATTTGATTTGGAGGGTATTTGGACCGGATTATTTTGGCTGCGGTGGCCAAATGCACGACGGATGTGTTTCCGCATAATGGGGGAGGATGCGACAGGACTTTCCGAAGTGGCCCGTCAATGCAATTCGGGTTTCATAGCACTGAGGCAGAGTGGTCTTCCTGCAATGGCTGGTGAGGGCCTTTAGTGGACCTGTGTATTTATGCTGCTGCTGCTGCTGCTCGAGGAGGCGTAGAAGTGCGATTTGAGGTGAGCGGCGAAAGAGCCACGCATCCCGCAGTGACGGTCGTCGTTGGCCCACCGGGTGCCTCTGAAGGTTTTGTTGGATGCAACGTCCTTATGCCCGTCTCCGGATGGCGGCATCCCTGATGCAGCCAACGAACGGGGCTGCGAGCGACGGTGAGACGCAAGCACGTGTGGATGTTCGGAGCGGCCGGCGCACCGCACGCTGAGAGCATGGCACGGTGAGGACCGGACCCAGAAAAGGGACACCGCGTGGGACGTCACTCTTCACTGCAGCGACCGCCACCGAATTCGGATTTTCTCGCACCTTCTGCGGTCCCTCTTTCTCCCCTCACTTCTGTGCCGAGGACTGTGCTGCGGGATCCAGCAGCGCGATGTTTGGCCGCAGGAACATGGCTCGAACAAATGATTTGTGGGAGGGGATGTGCACTGCGACGAGAAGGAAGAAAATGTTGCGAGACGACCACCACGACAAGACCGGAGTGAAGTTTTGTTTTGTCCACTTGCGCGAGGGCGGCCTGCCACCTGGTCGGTTGGGAGGATTATTTTTTTTTGCGTCGTTGCGCTCTCTTTTATTCCGCCGCGTTTTCTTGCGGACCTGCGAAGGGAGACTTGCAAGAAGTTCCTGCGAGGCGTCCGTGCCGTCGTCGGGAAGGCGAATCCCCCCTGAAAAACGCTACTTTATAAATTTGTTTTGGGCGGGGAGTTCCCGTCGATTCAACGCGACTTTGTTTTGCGTATTTGATGCGTGTGTTTCCGAGCGGTTCGGTCTGTGCTCCCGGCCCACTCGGATGTGGTGTGCGCGTCGACGTGAGGGCGCCTGCAATTCATTTTATTGCCGTTTCTTTCACTGTAGTCGCGTCACTGCCTTTTTCCCTTTTTCCCTTTTTGTCTTTATTTAGCTTTTGGACATCTTATTTTTAAAAGGCATTGACACTATTTGTTTATAATTCCCTTTTTGCCAAGTTTGCCTCTTCAGTAGAACACCGTAACACCTTAAATTTTTTTTTTAATGCGCCGTCGCGTAATTTATTTTGTTTTGATGAATCAAAATTTCAAAAGGGCGTTTTTGTTGCTGCAGTTTTTTTTGGTGTTGGCATTGCTGATAGCTGCGAGCAACTGGGAAAACGATTCTTCTCTCATCCTTTCGGAAACGTTGGTAAAAGATGATGTGCAATTTGTTAAGGCCGAATCTGAGTCAGAAAGACCACGGGTTGTCTTCCTTGTTATTCAGACACGAAAATCTCCCGGCTGGTGTCGGATGATGTTGAGTTCGCTTCTGTCGGAAGTGTCTGTGGTATCGATAGGGTTTGGAAAACGATACAATCACGCGAAGAGACCATTGTGGATTCTCGACTACATTGATAATGAGGGTCTGCGCGATGAAGACGTGGTGGTGG